TTAAAATCATAGAAAATATTCCAATTCTGCTGCAACATAGTGGAGAATGGGATGATAACAATAATTTCATAAATTCTCATGTTGATGCAATTCTAATAAAGACCTATTGGAAATTTGAACAACTTCTCAGAGAAATTGCAAAGCAACTGCAAAAGGACAGTAAAACAATAGTTATTCAGTATGCTATTGCTCAAGGATATCCACCAATTACAATTTGCAGCGATATGAGTGTTAGTGTTTACATGGAATTGAAAAAATCAAGTGCAGGGATGACAACATTTCACCTGTGTGTCGTTTGCTAAAAACACTATAGCTGCAAGCACCTCCAGTTTCGATGTTGCCCCAATTTCATCAGAAATTGCAGAATTTGGAAACACTGATATGATTACTACGTTTGATGTGCAAGAAGGAGATGACGCCATTTTAGAACTTGATGATGCAAACATCATAACTGATCAATTTCATCAAAATGTTGAAAAAGGACAAATTTACAAAGACAAGAACCTGCTGGCTCTCGTTATGAAACAGTATGCAGTTAGAGAAAAATGTCAATATCGGGTTCATAAATCATGCCCAAGAAGGTTCGTCTGCATGTTTTCAAGTAAAAAACTATGTGATACCTATATAGTATATAAGTATGCTAAATCAGTATACTATGCGAGTATGGAATTGTATTGGTTTGTCTGTGTTTTTTATCAGTGATACTGGTATAGTATATAAGTATGCTATATCAGTATACTATGCGAGTATATAACTGTATTGGTTTGTCTTTGTTATTATCAGTAAAACATAATACCAATATAGTATATATGTATGCTAAATCAGTATACTATGTGAGTATAGAATTGTGCTGCTTTGTCTATATTTTTTATCAGCAAAATATGATACTGATACAGTATATAAGTATACCAACAGAGTATACCATGTGAGTATATAATTGTACGGATTTTTGTGTGTGTTTTTTATCAATAGAACATGATACATAACTGTATTTGTATTATAAACAGGTATATCCTTGAATGCGTGGATGAAAGATGCACTTGGAGACTTAAAGCATCAAGCCTGCGAGCATCAAATCTTTTCAAAGTGACGGATTTCAATTCTGTCCACAGTTGTTTAACTGATAAGAGATTTTGTTCACAAAAGCAAGCTGTCTCAGCTTTTGTTGCAGCTGTGGTACAAGATAAACTTGTTGACCCGAAAACCATATATACACCAACAGATATCCAAAGAGACATCCAAAAAGCATATGGTATGGACTTAAGCTACATGCAAGCATGGAGATCAAAAGAAAAAGCAATGCAATTATTGAGACGATCACCAAGTGAGTCATACAAGAAAATGCCAACATATCTTTATATGTTAGAGTACGCTAACCCAGGATCAGTGACACGACTACACACTGAAGGAGATGGGAGCTTCTTGTATGCATTCATAGCTATATATGCATCGATTAGAGGATGGGTCTATTGTAGGCCAACAGTTGTAGTTGATGGAAGTTTTTTAAAGTCAACATATAGAGGGACCATACTCACGGCTTCCACGCAAGACGCAGAGGGTAAGAATACAATCCAATTACATTCAGTTAAAGAAACAAAAAATATTTTCAAATATTATATGATACCAGTATGGTATACAAGTATACCAACAGAGTATATAGTTGTTTTGCCACACACCTGCACCTACCTATGACTATACTACTATATGAAATACTAAATTAATATTTTGTGTACAATCCAATTACATTCAGTTAAAGAAACAAAAAATATTTTCAAATATTATATGATACCAGTATGGTATACAAGTATACCAACAGAGTATATAGTTGTTTTGCCACACACCTGCACCTACCTATGACTATACTACTATATGAAATACTAAATTAATATTTTGTGTACAATCCAATTACATTCAGTTAAAGAAACAAAAAATATTTTCAAATATTATATGATACCAGTATGGTATACAAGTATACCAACAGAGTATATAGTTGTTTTGCCACACACCTGCACCTACCTATGACTATACTACTATATGAAATACTAAATTAATATTTTGTGTACAATCCAATTACATTCAGTTAAAGAAACAAAAAATATTTTCAAATATTATATGATACCAGTATGGTATACAAGTATACCAACAGAGTATATAGTTGTTTTGCCACACACCTGCACCTACCTATGACTATACTACTATATGAAATACTAAATTAATATTTTGTGTACAATCCAATTACATTCAGTTAAAGAAACAAAAAATATTTTCAAATATTATATGATACCAGTATGGTATACAAGTATACCAACAGAGTATATAGTTGTTTTGCCACACACCTGCACCTACCTATGACTATACTACTATATGAAATACTAAATTAATATTTTGTGTACAATCCAATTACATTCAGTTAAAGAAACAAAAAATATTTTCAAATATTATATGATACCAGTATGGTATACAAGTATACCAACAGAGTATATAGTTGTTTTGCTACACACCTGCACCTACCTATGACTATACTACTATATGAAATGCTAAATTAATATAGTGTGTTGTAATTGATATTTTGTTCTTTGGATTTACAGGACAAATTCTACCCCTCGCATATGCAATTGTTGATTCGGAAAATGATGCATCGTGGGAATGGTTCTTCGTGCAGTTCAGAGAAACCTATGGACAAAGAGAGGGAATGTGCATTGTATCAGACAGGCATGATGCTATATGGAAAGCAACTTCAATTGTCTATCCAGAAGTCCCTCATTGTGCATGTATGTTCCATCTGTGGAACAACATAAAGACAAACTTCAGGAAGAGCCAAAAACAAATCAAAGAAGTATATTTTGCGTTAGCAAGAGCATACACTGTTGAAGAATTCAACAGGCATATGGCAGAGTTAGAAGCTATTGATAGTAGAGTGAAAACATACCTGATGGATATTGGATATGATAAATGGTCCCGGGCGCATTCCAAGGCAAATAGAACCATGACCATGACATCGAATATTGCGGAATCAGTAAATGCAGCAAACAAGCACGCAAGAGACCTCCCAGTTGTGAATTTGCTTGACTTTATGACAACATTGATTCAAAAATAGAATTACACCAATCGGAAGGATGCAGTGGAATCATTTATGAAGATTGGTGCAAAGTATGAAAAAATATTGGCAGATAATACTATCTTATCACAGATGATGACGGTATGCATTTTCAAAATCATAAAAACACTGCATGTACTGTATTTTTACTTTTTTACCTTAGTGATTTCACTAAACAACTGAATATTGTTATTTAAAAAATACTATTACTTCATATAGCTAATGACTTTTCTTAATTAAAATTATACTAGGTGTTGCCATCAACTGAATTCTTACATTTAGTAATTGATGGCCAAACAAGAAATGTGGTGCGCCTACATGAAAGAAACTGCACTTGTGGGAGGTTTCAACTAGACGATATTCCATGTCCACATGCAATGGCAGTTATACAAAAATTCCATATGGATTCATACAAGTATTGCTCGGATTACTACAGCATAGACTACTTGCTGAAAACATATGAGATACCAGTAAATCCATTGCCTGATGAAACAACGTGGCAAATTCCAGAACATGTCTCTTCGCAGGTGGTACTGCCACCAAAAGGACAAATCAAACCAGGAAGACCTAAAAAGAAGAGAGGCATAGGAGGCTGGGAAGGAAATACAGTTACATGTGCACTATGCGGGAGAAAAGGACACAACCGGAGAACATGCCGAAATATTCCAAAGAGAGATTGATATAACGATTCAATGTTTTTATAGAACTCATATATCGTAGAATCATAGCATTTGAATTGCAAAGAAATAAAATGCATTTCTTGCATTAGACATATATTTGGTATGATGATTCTTTGCGAAATTACTTCTTGGCAACAAATTTATATGGCTACTTGTATTTTCAATAAGAATCTGTTTATTTTCTATTTTAGTATATAAAAGTGGGATGCATTTACATCTAGTTGCTGCAGGAAAAAAGATGCTAAAATATATATGTGATACCCAAGTGGTATATCTGTATACCTTATTGGTATATCTGTATATCTTATTAGTATCAAAATATGTGCAGAAATAGAAGTGGTGCTGCAAATGCAACATTTGTACATACTTTGTTAACAAAATGGGCACGCTTTGCAACTCATGTCTGTATTGAAGTATAACAAATTGGAAGCCATTTACATGCAGTTATTGTACATCATCAGGTACATTAATACAAGGTGATACCCAAATGTTATATTTGTATACCTCGCTGGTATATAGTGGTATTGAACTAATATGGCTAAAACAAAATATGCGCAGAAATACAAATGGTGCACCAGATACAACGTGATACCGAAAATGCGCACGCTTTGCAACTCATGTCACTACTTACATCTAGTTGCTGCAGGAAAAAAGGTGAGTCAAATACAATGTGATACCCAAATGGTATATCAGTATACCTGATTGGTATATAGTTCTACTGCACTAATACACCATCTATGCTAAAACTACAGATGTACATTAAAGCTTAGACCATCATCACATTCGAAAGCAGATCATTTAACTTCGCTTCATCTGCCCCTAATTTTCACTTGCAGAATCCATTAAACCTTACCCTCTGGCAAAGGAATGGACCTCGGCATCCTAATAAACCAACAACTTTATGGAAGAAGCCTAAGAAAAGCCTAATAAAACAAGCTGAAATCAGAAACAAAATCAGCAAATTTTCAGCATCAAGAGACATAACTAAACTGATAACCCCCATGTACTTGAAGAAATCTATACCACATATTCTGAACCAGAATAATTAAATATGACAAAAGAAACATTAGCAGCTGGAAATATTTTATAAAGGCACAAGTTTCCTACAGTCTTGAATCAGCAGAAGGTCATTTACTACTAACAATACCATACTTCACCAAAAACTATTAAAATCCTGCAAAGTTTTCATGATACGATTAACTAAAACCAAAAAGAGACCTATACTACTTCTTGCGTTTCTTTCCACGAGTCTTTTTAGGTGCTACTGGAGCCTCAGATTCACTTGATTCGCCATGCAACTGCTTGTTCCTCCCATAGTGCCACAACAGTATACCAAACCTAGCTCGAAGACCATCCACATCAAAATTGGCAACAGGGATTGGAAGATCTTCAATAATATACTCAGCAAAGCAAGCAACATATACTCCACAATCTCTGAAATAAAACAAATGAATAGAATATAAAAATCAATTAGAAGTGAAAATGTTAATATGAATGAGGAAAAGAAAGTAAAAAATAAAGTAACTATTCTTACGAATTTTGCTGTGTTGGCAGATTTGTAATCAGTTCAATCTCAAAAGGATCAGTCAAATTCTTTCCCATGTGCAGACCATTTTCTACTACAATGTCACTTCTTTGGTTATAAAATTCAATACTAACTAGAAATAGGGGGATCAACACAGCATAAGCCTCTGCCACCTTTTGAATAGCTTTTTTGTGCTTTCGACTACGTAGCGAGTCATATACGTAAAAACATCTCTTGTGGAATGACACACACCCCAATATCCAATGCCAACTTTCTGCCAAATTAATTGGAAAAAGGACATGATCAACCTGGTGCCATGAAGTGTTGCAATGCATCCTAAATCCTTTCATGTACTGCATGATATCGTCTGATCTATCAATCAAATGATCTTGTTTCCCACCTTTTACAAATTCTTTGAAAACCCTTTGAATGATATTATTAAAAAGAGTATCTATAGTTGTGACTTTGATTGGCATATTAATTCCATATTTCGCCTTCTTCCTTAGATAGTAGAATATAATATTCAAGTGCTGCAAAAAAGAGAGGAAGAAAATATGACTACGACTAACAATATGAATGAACTACTACAACAACAAAAATAAAAAGCAGTACACATACCGAACTAGAAAGTGGCCTGCCAGAATAGTTTAAGGTATGGAAAAACATCTTATCATCAATCCGTTCAACTCCAAAGTCAAAACAAGGCTCTAGCTTTTGATCAGCAGGTAAATACACTTCCCTGTTTCGTATAAAAGAAGATATGGATAAGAAATATAACAACAAACATTAAGAAAAAATGAAAACAAAAGTACATGGAAACGAATACGCACTCTCCCAATTGCATGTTTGCTTCAACAAAGTTTGAGAAGGCAGTCGTAAGCTTAAAATTAACAGTCTCTGAAATGTCATTTACAAATGGAAATCTTCCTTTGATAACCTTCGAGGATCCCCCAACTGCACTAACACCAGATTGCCAGTCATTCCTATACGGCGACTGTTTTACAGCTGCGGGGCGCCTTTTCCGTGTCAAAACTGCAGGAGTAGTTTCAACGTCTGTTTGTATCTGGACAATACTTCTTGATACCGACTGATCAGGTTTAGACTTATTTACAGCACCAGTTGTCAGTTCATTTCCTGATTGATTTACATTACATCTCCCTCCTTGTGTAATGGCAGCAATTTGATCAAGTTGAGAATCAGTATATTCAAAATCAGAATCCAAGTGAAGATCACCCCCGTGTTGAGATGGAGCTTAAATTAGAAAATGCTAGTGAATAAATAAATATACAAAGTTAAGAAATTTAGAAAAAAAGAATGAAAAGTTATATATAGAAGACATTACCAGAAGGCAAATTCACATTACTGCCACCAACATCCACTTGACCAACACCATCAACCCGACATGCTGAACACATAAAAGCATTATCAACATAACTACTTAAATAAAAAATAAAAAAATATCAAGAACCTATCATTTACATACTAACTACAGAATTAGTAATATCAACATCGTACCCTGTGGAGCAGTATTAGACTCAATAACAACATCTGCTCGTGTCTGTACAGGGATTCCTGATGGCAGTGGAGCAGGACCCGACTTTTTAACATCATGAGATGACTGCTTATATGTTGCTTGTTGTGTAATGGCGGTGATTTGATCAATTGCAGATGCAGACAGATCAAAGTTAGAATCAAAGCCAAAATCATGCTCATTTACGAAGGGGGCTGAAAAAAGTTTTTTTAAAAAAAGGTTAGTCAATGCACAAATACATAGAGTTAAATAAATAAAAAAAGAATAAAAAAATTACATGTGCAACATTTTACCAGAAGGCAAATCCTCATTAACTACGCCATCACTTGCTGTGACGTTCTTCACATTGACACCAGTGGCACATCCATCTTGATCAACCCCGGCAAAACCAGATACTAAACATATAAAGGTATAAGCAAGAGTACTATTTTCAAAAAACAACAGCAAAAAAAAAAAATCAATCAAATCTGTGATTTACATACTAGAAGGTGCTGTGGGCGTGCTATTTCCAATAACTACAGGATCATTCTCAACGTGGCCACTTTCAATCTGGTCATAATCATTATCCATCTCACGAAAGTCAGGATCATAATACTGTTGCTTATGCTGAAAATGAGAAACTAACAATTTTAGTATTATGTATATTACAAGAATAATATGTGCACTAAAAGTAAAGAATGAAATAGTATCCTATAAGCATATATTGCATCTTTGAACAATATACTATAGCATTATATTATATAAAAGATGAATACCGCTGAATTTTCCTCTGGTTTCATTGACTTCATTGACTGCTTACCAATAGCTGCAAGCACCTCCTCAAACTTGTTCTCTACAAAAAGCTTCAAAGCTTGTAACTCCTTCATTACCTCAGCATTGGTAGGTTGGGAATCACCTCCAGTACTTTCAGGCATACTTTGTGTCTTTGGTAATTGAGTGCCAAAAACCTGAAAGCTATCGGACTGGCTGGGCTGGCTGTCAGTGCACTCAACTTCAATTTCAAAGCTTAGACCACGCACATCAAATTGTTTCTTCTCATCATCAGTTGGGGTGATGTTCTTTAGCTGCAATTATTAAGCACACTAGTTAGAAATAGAAATGATAATAAAGTATGAAGGAAAAAAGATCCATATTACCGTATGATAACAATATAGTATACATGTATACCAATAGAGTATATCACTGAACTGGGATATAGTATACATGATACCAATATAGTATATATGTATACCAACAGAGTATATCACTAAATTGGGATATTGCTACAACTGTGACTAAACTACTGTACCAAAACATTAAGAGAGGCAATAAAACTATGAGAAAATTACCTACTCGCGTTGCAAGCTACACATTCGCAAAGCAACTCGCTCATTCGGGATTTGACCCATGACTACCCAATTCAAAATTCGTGGAAGTTTGTTTCCAAGATGATCAGCAAAGTGACCATCCAAACTTGGGCAGCATTCATACAACCAAGTCTGTAAAGCCAACGGGAAGCCACCAAGTCTATAAAAAGAAGGCTTATCTTGAAACTTGTTGGAACACGAGTCAATTGTAGCTTTATAAACATCTATACCCCAGGGATAATTATTAAAATCACCGGACTCAACCAAGTCAATGTAAGACCGTGAAATAGCCTTTGTTTTGAGTTGAGAAAATAAGAAGCTGTTGATAAAATAAAGAACTGCTATCTTCAACGCATCATCATCCGTTTCCCATTTCTTCTTCTTAAAACAGTCTGCTAGTTGGGCAAATGTCACGGATGCAGTCCCAAAATATTTTGAAATCAACCTATTCTCTGCTATGCTCTCTATACTTGTATCACCCTTACATTTCAACCCAGTAACAAGTGCAAATTCACCCAAGCCAAACCGCAACCTAGAATCATTCACTACAAACCGCATCTCATTTTTCACCTCATGATGTACTTCTCTCATAAGCAAATGGTGCATAACCCGAATCTGCACAATCACTGGTGGCAGATCCAAAAAATAGCCAAAGCATGTTTTCTTAAAAAGTCGAAGTTGCCTCTTTGATAAATTCGCTTTCAATTGATGAATAACATGGCAGTTGGTATCCCAATCAACCTTTGGTTTATAATCTAAGTCAATAGGCACAAGGAAATCCCAACACTGCAAAACATGTTCATATAAAATAATTTCAGAAATAGAATTCACTTAAAATGCAACTAAACCAACTAAAAATATCACAACTACCATACGATACCAACACGACATATAATTATACCAGCAGGGTATACAATTATACTGACTAATTTCCGGCAACTACAAATGACTATACTACTATTACATAACAGATAGGAATAAAGAGAAAAAGCAAAAAGGAATGCAGCTATAAAGTATTTTCAAGATACTGTACGATACTACTATTATTAAAGGAAAAACAAATAGCGAAGACAACTAAAAAAAGATCCAGAAGCATATGATAGTATATAGCTATACTAACAGGGTAAATAGTTGTACGGGGTTGTTCCAATAACTATCTATAACTATAAAAACTATCACATAACACACATACACTATGTCTATAGGCACAAAACTTCTATGGGAAACATCATGCGTGCCATTGCCACTGCAACAAAACACCAGTTACGCAACAATCAGATAAAGAACATAAATGCAATTTTTTAGAAGAAGACCTCAGAAGTCAAAAGAGCTGCTGCATGCACCAGAAATTATACAAGTTTTACAACCTTAGGGTGAGTGTCTTTCTCACAGGTTTAGATTGTGAATAACAAAAAAAGCTCAACTTAGCCTGCCAGCTTCTTCATAAGGTGATTCATTATGTGCCTTAAACTCATCAGGTTCTCTCTAATACCGCTTATTCAAGTTGCTAACTCTGCATATCCAGCAAAGTCTGGATGGGGGACATATAGCAGATTTGGCTATAAAAACATTCATTTTCACTCACTACCGACTACCATCACATGATATCACCAAACAATCTGGTGAATTGCTATGAAGGAAACATAAAAGCAGCAAGTATAGTTAATTGATAAAAGAAGGGAACCCCTCTTTCCATCGAAATGACGGTCTAAAGTCAAAAATAGAAGCTGATTCCTAATCCAAGGTAAGTGGGACATATTGGTTCTTAAGAAGTATCTAAAAGCTAACATCACACTTGGCTCTCAGGATATGCAAGGAAACCTTTGTCAAACAAACATAGGAGCAGAAAGACACAGAGCTTCAGGATGATTCGTAACTAGCCGTGAAGAGCATCTTCAAGCTTTTGAAACTAAATTTTGCCTACCTAGTGACTGCCGATCTCCTTACAAAATTTGAAAATCATGGGCCGCTCATTGGTGGACATGCTTTCTAAGCAAAAGATTTCTTTAACCCAATAGCATTGCCTCCCCCTTCCAGACTCAAGTACTATGTCAATCATGTAACTGAGTACCTGGCATCTTTTTTGTCTACTACTTAGCACCAATTCAACAAATCATTTTCATTAGAAAATAAGTCAATCATGTCCTAACTTATTACTTAAGGTTAAGGGATTCTTCAGATGGTTCAAAAGGGACAATGGGTGTTATTCAGAAAACGCCCCATACATGATCACTCTACCCCGATGCCTGCCTATAATCAATGCCAGTGGTGGTCACCAGCCAAGGCCGTGGGGCTTCTGCACATTGACCCCATCCACACCATGCCACCTATAAAGAAAAGCTCATTCTGCACACATAACTTACACGGTCCCATTCCTTCCATACTTGCTTCTCACCACCACTATCAACTGGCCTAAACACTAGATCACGTACAAAATCATCTAATGCAAAGCTGAAAATCAGAAATCACACAGAGCAGCTCTGGCTTCAATAAATTTGGTTGACAACAACAGCTACTGATTGACAGCACTAGTGAATCAGCGACCATTTTTTTAAACCTCAAGCAGAACATTAATTTAATCTGTCTATTTAATTCAAAAAATTAACACAACTGATTGTAACTATAATATAATACAAAAGCATAACAGGAAATCAAAAAATAACAATGTACTATACATTAAAAATCGCAAAGATCATAATTGTAAGAAAATTACCTTCTTGGGTGCGACACCAATTTTTCTCTTCTTTAACTGAGAATCATCGCTACAATCAAGATCTACTGGTTGAGTCTCTGTTTCATGCACGGATTCACGTCGGCTTCCCCCTAACTCAGAATCCTCAACAACTTTACCTTTTCCCTTATCAGTCACAGAAACACCTCCTATGACTGGTTCGGAATTTGTGTCGGGTAATGACAGGTAGGGAGTTTCATCGACTGACGCGGCATTAATATTTTTGCCTTTTCCACCCTCTAATTCTACATTTTCAGTTGTGTTTTCAACATGACTACTGCTAGGGTTACGACTAAGTGGAGACTGAGAATCAGAAAATAAGGAAAAACTAGGCCCAGACATGGCTGAGGCAACGGATTCAGCAGCTACTTGTTTTGAAGAATGATATTGTCCAAAGAGCCACCGTCTACGCGCACAATGCTTCCGACCCATAGAGAAAACAACAACCCATAGACATTGATTCACAAAAGTACAAAGGAAACATAAAAATCCTATGATTTTGAAAACCCACTTTCACTAAAATGTACTTTCAGAAGCAAAAAAATTCACCCAAAGCAAAAATGTCACCCAAAATTAGGTACTAGACGAAGAGATTGAACGGAATCGGAAGAAAAAAATTACAACTCGAATGTGTTTCACTTTTGCGTTCTCATCGGTTGGCTATGGAGTTATGGAAAGTGTACTCTGTTAACTGATAGAGAAAGAAGGAAAGCGTGGGAAGAATGGGCTGGATCGAAGATAATAGCGAGATGGGTAGATCGTGGGAAGAATGGGCTGGATCGAAGATAAGGGAGAGATGGGTAGATTGGGCCGCGTGAAATATAGGGGCCGGGTAAATAGATTGGGCCGACTGGGTAGGCAGGGTAAATAGTTCGGGAATGGGTATTAAAAGGTAAATAGTTTGGCCCTAATAGGTATAAAGTGAGATTTTTCCTAATTTTTTCCGTCTATTGAAACAATCATGGCCCAACTAACCTTTTGGCCTTTGGCATATTCCTTAAGAAAATATTAACTCATAGAAAAAAATAAGTATTTTGACTAAATTATCCTTAATTTTAATTTGTAGTTGTTAACTTGACACATTGGGATATGTAAATAATGGGCAAATTTGAAACACTAAAGTTAATTCATTCTTGAATATGTAAAAATGACACTTATTTCGAACCAAATAAAAGGGTAAAAATTGCACGGGGCGCCCTATTTGGTGGCCCCCATCTAACCTATACCCACTTTTTAAAAAAGTTTTAACTTGTACTACTTTTTAAACAACTTCAGGTATCTTTCTCCTCCTTCGTTTTCTGAATGCTGAAACTTGAGATATTGTTATGCATTCTAGCCTGATGATTCATATAAATCTGCTTGTCCCATTATGTTCAGTTTGATCTTATTCACAATAATTTAACGTCTTAGATATTTTAGCTTTACAAGCACATTGGTGAGAAGTATTTTGAAGCTGAGACATTGAGGATACAAATGGGCTTATGAACAACCTTGAGTTAGATCTAGGCTAAGGTATCTAGTTTTGGTTCTAATTTATCTGTACTAACTTGTTTTCATGTTGAAAATATTTTTCATTCTTTAATCTTTGAAATGAACAACATCAACCGCTGCCAATCATGATCTATTCTGGAGAAAGATTATCTTCCTCATTTTCGTGTGCAGACTTAGAACTTCAGCTCTAAGAATGCTGAAGTCAGCAAATATAAACAAAAATTTCAGCTCCTAGAATGCTGAAGTTCAGCAAATACAAAACAAACTTCAACCCTAGAATGCTGAAGTTCAGCAATTACAAAACAAACTTCACCTCCTAGAATGCTGAAATTCAGCAATTACAAAACAAACTTCAGCTCCTAGAATGCTGAAGTTCGGCAATTACAAAACAAAAACTTCAACCAAAACATGTTGTAGTTTTATTGAACTGAAGTTTGCCATTGCACTATGAACTGAAGTTTGCGTGATTGCCTTTGCAAGTCGGGCCAAACTTCAGGCAAAAATATCTGAAGTTTTGCTTTAATAAGGCTACACTTCAGGCAAAATATTTTGAAGTTCAAACTTGACATAAATTTTTGCTACTTCAGGCCCGTATATTTGAAGTTACCCGAAAAGTGGGTATGCTTGCAATTTTTTTTTTGCAAAGCGGGTATAAGTTAAAAGGTGACCCAAAAGCTGGGTATAGATATAAATGCCCCGCAAAAAGGTCACTTACTATGAACCGGGGCAGTATTATATCAATGGTTCTGTTGTATGAAAGTTCTATCTTATTTAGTGAAAAAATTTGGGTTCGCCACTATTTTCATCCTTCTTGAACAAGGTTTCTTGGCTTACGCAGAGACGGATGTAGTGAACAACTAACGGGTTCAATTGAACTCATAATTTTCGACACGGAGTAAAAATTTATATGTAAAAATTCATTAAAATTGCAAAATAGTGGATATGAACCCATAACTCTAAAAATTTAATGGGTTCAATGCTAAAAACCTTAAAAGTTGAACCCATAGGATTTAAATCCTGAATCCGCATGTGGGCTTACAATGTTACTTATTGACTAATTTGTTATTCACTGTACCAAAATGTGATGCAGTAATACTGGATTTGTGATCCAAAATCAAAACGATTTTCACTTTACTAAAGACTGGCTCAAACCTTTTGTGTGTTAAAAATTATACTAAAACAAGTACCATAACAGACGTCTTGAAGACATCAAGTTCAAATCCTGGATCTGTCTTTGTTGTATAATAACCTACATGGATAAAAATCATCCATCTCCCCTATCACATCACTAATACAAAAAAGAGATTTGATATGGCAACGAAAATTAAGCTAACATCTAAAACTGAGGTGGCACTGGGAGAATGATCCTCTGTTGGTGCCTCAGCAGCAACAGGAGTGTCCGCAGTTGGTGCATCAGGCTTAGGTGGGGAACCAGGCGCGTGTGGAGTTGATGAAGGCGAAGCCTCTGAAGGGGTATCTGCAGCCGGTGGTTCTGGCTCAGGTGGTGAGCCAGAGCCGGGGGCTGCGGAAGGTGAGGGTGTAGGGGTAGAAGTTTTATTAGGTGAAGGAGAGGAGCCCGGTGATGGCGCGGAGGAATTATTGCTCGTGCTAGGTGAAGGAGCACGACTAGGCGATGAAGACGGGGAATTAGTTGATGAATCAATCCCCAATGGAATAATAACATTGCTAATTTGAAGGATTGAAATGTTATAAGGTTGTGATGCAACTGACTTGACTAGATTTGATCCAAGTGTTGCACCTTTTGCAGCTGAGCCTAATGCAACACTACCACTACCCAAATCTGTCACATTCAAATATCCTTGATCACTATTGGCCTGTCCAGTGGTTTGAAACAGAGTCGGAGCCTTCATGGTTTTATTAGGTAATTTTTGGAGCTTTTGCACATCATAATAGTCGAGCAAGACGTGCACGCGCATGATGTTGGCGAGCACGTCTTGTGACTTCCCCGAGAGGGGCGACAAGTTGCTGTTTTCGACTACTAGGACAGTGATCGTTTGCCTGGAGTTGATTGCGGAAGCAACTCCGGTTTGAGTTAGGTAATTGTTGAAATTGCTGAAAGATGAGTATTGATTGAGAAGATTGGTAATGTTGAATGCCTTAACATGACATAAAATATTGAGGAGGAAGAAAAAGAATAGTATAGAAGTGTTAAAATTATTCATTTGGATATAAAATAGTGTTTGATGATAGTTCCAAAGTGTTGTCTTAATGAATTTTTATATTGAAATAAGAGGACTTGGTTTTTGTGGGGAGAATTCATTTGCGCCTCTTTTAGAGGGAATTGGTTTTGCTTAGTAGTGGATAGGAGAATGTGGTGGAAGAGCTCATTCATTGTTTCTGTGCCATTTGCCATACTTACAGCACCCTTGTCTTAATGCTCTAAGATTAGACCAAAGAAGATCCTTATAAAAGCAACAAAATCTCTTATGTGATTTTAGTTTTGACATTAACTAGGAAAATTACGTTCATATCAAAGAAAAAGTCCTTTTGAAAAAGTCGTTTTAGGTTAACTTAAGGAGCATTTAACTTAACGTGTAAAAAAAAAAAAAGACAATCATGTCATTTATCAGGTAGTTGCAAGTAAATCTCTATTATAAATAATAGTTAGTTGCCTCATAAAAGTAGTTGGAGTAATTAACATGTTATGAACTTATAAATTCAGAGGCGAAGTCAGGATTTGTAGCTAATGGATTCAGGATTCTAGTTCTTTAAGCTACTGGGTTCTAACTTAATTATTTGTGCATATTTCAATAAATTTCTTAAGACAAATATAAGGTTTAGACCAAAGTTACTGAGTTCGACCGAACCCGTAGCTAAAGGCCGGTTCCGCCCTGCTTATGATAGGTTAAATCTACATTATTTGTGTTAGAAGTTTTTGCACTATCATTATATATATATATCTTAAATCCTACAAACAAACGTAGTTATTCTGCTGAAACAACCGAGTCTCTTTTGAAATCACTCGAACTTATAAGCATTTGTTTCCACATAGAAAACAGACTTACATACATACAGTGAACTTCTGCGAAAACTACAATGATAGTTTATTATCTTTATTCAGCTATATCTTTTGTTTGAATTTACAATAGATTCTACATGGCAGGAAGCTGTGATTTGTGGAAGAATGTTTGGAAGTCTTTCTATATCTATGGACCTTGAAACAACTCCAAACCTTTGATTATAAAAGAATGCATTTGTAATGAAAAACTAAACCAATTTGTATAATTTTAGTTTTACTTTTTCTAAACATTTTGTATATTGTAAATTTAGTCCTTGATGACTAAGAAATCAAAGTTTGTTAGTGCATGATAAATTGGCATCCCTATTTATTCCCACCGACTTGTAGTCCAAGGGTGCATCTTGTCCGTATCAAAACAACATGGGACGAAGGCCGTCTTGTGGAGAAAAACCTAAGGCTAAAAATTGTTACATAGAAACATCTACTTAACCAAGTTGTAAAGGAATACTTCACAAGTTGTAAGATATTACATGGCATCTGGAAACCTCTATAAAACAAAAAAGACAGCTTTTTATCTGAACTACCACTGGAAAATTTTACTAAAATATTATAATAATCTTATGTTCAAAAATTGGTGGACAAATTAAGATGACTTCTAAAGGAATACAAGTACTTGGATATTCAAGTGTAATGATCTTCTACAGCAATCTTGTTGATAACCAGTAAGGGCAGTGGAACTGAGAATCTGGGAGTGATCAGTCGATCTTCACAGACGAGTAAATGAGTCTTGTGAACCAGAAGCATGCGTAGAAACCGATGGTACCAGTCAGAACGAAAAATGCATATGAAGCAATCAACATGTAACCAAAGTACAAGATCCCAGAAACAGGCTTAGTGATATCAAGCTTAGTGAAGAAGTAGAAGGTAGCATAAAGGAAGAGGTAAAGTGCGGACGAGCCTGATGTCAGGTAGGATCTCCACCACCACAAGTAGTCCTCACTGCATAACTGGAAATAGCATAGGACGATGGTTATCTCGGCACAGGTCACTATCAGAATGACAAACACAATGAAGAGGAAGCCGAAGAGGTAGTAAAATTGGTTGAGCCAGATTGAGGTAAGAATGAAAAAGAGCTCAATGAAAACAGCTCCAAATGGAAGTATGCCTCCGATTAGGACTGAGAAGATAGGGTTCATGTACCAAGTCTGCTCTGGGATCTGCCTGGGTATTTTATTAGTCTTCACTGGATCCTCAATGGCTGGCTTTCTAAAACCAACATAACTGCCCACAAACACGAGAGGGACTGATATTCCAAACCATAAGAACACCAAAGCAAACATTGTTCCAAATGGCACAGCCCCAGATGATTTTTGACCCCAGATGAGTGCATTCAAGACGAAGAAGATGGCAAAGACAGTAGCTGGAAACAGAAATGCTGTCCTGAGAGCAATTCTCTTCCACTCTGTACCTTTAAACAACTTATAGAGACGGGAAGCAGAGTAGCCCGCAAAGAGTCCCATGAAAACCCAGAGCAAGAGCATAGCGGTCATTAGCCCACCCCGATTCGAAGGGGAGAGAAACCCAAGGACAGCAAACATCATGGTCACCACCATCATACCGAAAAACTGTACACCAGTTCCAACATAGACACAAAGCAAATCTGAGTTACTTGGAGGCCTGAAAACATCTGCATGGACTAGTTTCCATCCGGTTTCTTCTTGTGCCTCCTCCTGGGTCTCCAGTTCATTGTACTTGGAAATGTCGCGATAAAGTGTTCTCAGCATTATCATCGCCACCATGCCTGATAGGAACAGCACAATCATTAAAGAATTTACTATCGAGAACCAATGGATCTGATCATCAGCCATCAGAAGATAGGCATCCCATCTCGACGCCCACTTGACATCACTCTCCTGCGATACAAACCAAAGAATCATATAAAATTAGTACCAAACTCCTATAGTAAATCTCAAAAGGTTGAACTCAGAAGTTATAACATACAAAGTTATAAAAAGGACAAGCAATGATCAAATTGAGTGGCCATATCTAACAAGATTCAAAAAGTAGGTTACCTGGAATTCAACATCATATGTAAATATGATTTCTTGGTTAGTCTCAACCTCTTGAGGAGAATTCGAATTAGATACAGTCCGCTTTGCATGTGGATCACATGTTGTTAAACGAGTATTCTCGCTCCATTTTCCATCATATTCATGCTTAACACTGGAAATATAATCAGCCATGTCAGTTCTTTTGCACCAATAGATTAAACAACAGGAGCAAACAGAATCATACACATATTGCTATGCCTCAACCAGTGAGTGCTGATGGAGATATGGGTAACCTTGAAAACATACCTGAATGGCATGACTTCAAATCCCACAATTCTGGCTGAATCTGTCTGCAAATCTTTATGGTACTTAACAGTGAATGTCAAGTGGTTATGGATGAAATGCTTCTCATCCTTGCTCTGCAGGAAGTCACACACAACAATTGAGTAGATGATTACATAATTTAGCACTTCTACATAGAAAATCAATTCTCCATAGTCTTATGGAAAATATCCTTACCCCAGCATATTGTCCTTTTACACCAATATAAACTCCCTGTTGATAGGCAGGAGGGGCTTCTTGCTCTAACCTCCGAACTGGAACAACTAAAGGCAGATTATCTAGGATCCTAACACATGAATCCAGAAGATTGTTAGGAAGAGTACAATCCAAAAGTTTGGAAAATGACAGTTTGCTCAAGCAAATAATTGACCTACATGTTGACACGATATTCATCTTCAATTTTTTCTTTAAATTCCTTAGCAGTCTTGTCATCAAGTACAAGCCTACAAACAACATGGCACATCTCTGGTTCCCTCATTTTGAACTGCAATAGAAACATACAGCTAAAAGATGTCAGTTGCCATAAGATAATAAAAACAAATAAATCAAGTGGTAAAGGAGATTATGCTGACCGCATAAGGGGAGTTCTCAATTCGATCACCACGAAGCACTTCTCCAAGATTTTCTCTGCTATCCACTATATTTTCTGGACGACAGAAAGGAACAGAATAGAACGAGTAAGGAAGTTGTGTCTTTGTAGAAGTCAGCTTGTTCACTTTCACAGACAGAGGATCTCCCTGCAACAAACATCATCACCATCCAGATTCCAGAGTCAGAAAAATCTATGTATTCCCTTCTTTTAAGATTAAGTAAAATCTACCTACGATTATTTTTTTTAAAAAAAAAGAACTCATAACCCCCCACCACCCTGTCCAAAAACTTGTTAAAGATCTTTCCCAGAAAAAAAATCCATATACAATTTATCCAGCACCACATTACCTGCCGATGAACCAAAAGGTATGTTTAATTTACTTCTGGGCGTAATTTGACCTAGATTTTGTGAGGTGACCACAACTCAATATGATCTGCTTATATACTAACACATTCTTCCAAGGGAATTAAGTTGGCACTTTTCACCATACAAATCATTCCATAATAAACATGCATGCTCGAAAACATGTCACGTTATTAATCAACAACACACTTCTACAGAAGTTCCTGTGCATAATACAATAGAGAAGGAACTTATTTTGAAGCCCATCAATATCAATTTGGACAACTGAAAGGAAGAAAAAAGAGGGAAGCATCTAGTCAGAATCATGAGAGGGGTCGTCTTCCAGAATAACCTGACAATACAAATTACATAAGCCAAAATTTACTAGCTGACTTCATGACAGAAAGCCTACTAACTGACTGTTCATTCTCTCTCTCTTTTAAGCAGCATTGGCACAACTACACCTCAATGCCATTTGTTCATTCTCAGCTTCCTCGCAATAGTTTTTAAATATTCATTCTGTTGGTGAATTCAGATAGTTTTGAATTCAACAATCTCACAAATCAAAGTAGATATATACAATCAAAACCAACTGGATTCCCCAACAGAGCCCATGCATGCATAAAAGATCAAAGCAGCAAAATGATGAAATTAAGCGCAAAACCATACCCAGACCAACAGAGATCAGTGACCGGACACAAATCAAACTGGAAATAAGCAAACAAAGTATCTAATACACACATCACTTAGACAGGATATTCAAACAGAGCTATTAACATCAAAATATTTGACAATTTTCACTTCGTAAACTTTCACCAACAATTTAAAATATATCATTTTCACCATTTTGATACAAGCAGAAATGCATCGTATATAGTAACTCATGCGTAGCTTCGGAATATTTACATTTTTATTTTCAAAAAAGTGATATTAATCTAGGCGATCTAGCTTAAACTTCAGTAAAAATTGCCTCTTGATATTGGACAGCAACAACAAAGCATTTTCATTTTTTGTGCAATGATATTCAAACAAAAGTAAACTTTCAACAGCATTCAGAATCTCTAAATTTTTAATTTATTATGAAAAAAATGATATTAATCTGCACAGTATAGCTTCAAAGTTTAGTCAAAATGCCTCTTGATATCCAAAAATAACAGAACAAAATAAAAACGCATTTCCAAATTCGTCCACACACATACGTACACATGAAGAAAGATAGAGAAAGAGAGTGAATATCTACATTTTTTTACAAAAAATTGATTAATCTAGCCGAGCTAATTTCAAGCATTAGTCAACTGCCTCTTAATATCCGAAATAGCAACAATAACAAAAATAACGACGAATTTCCACTTTCGTGCGCGCACACACACACATGTAATGAAGAAATACTGAGAAAGAGAGTGAAAGATGTGGGAACCTTTTGGAATTTTAGCTTCAGAATATCTCTTTTTTTTTAAGAAAAAAAAAAAGAAAAATTGATACTAATCTAGCCGATCTAGCCTCAAGCTTTAGTCAAATTTCCTCTTGATACCCAAAATAAAACAAGACTAACAATGCATTTTGCATTTTTTCCCACACATACGTACACATGAAGAAATTTTTTGATAAAGAGAGTGAAAATGTGGACCTTTTGGATTATTTTTGGAATATATACACTTTTATATTTCAAATAAATGACATTAATCTAGTCGATCTAGCTTCAAATTTTAGTCAAATTGCCTCTCGATATCCAAAAACAACAACAACAAAAATGAAAATAACAATGCATTTTTCATTTTTGTCCACAGACATTTACATGACGAAATATTGAGAAAGGGAGTGAAAAATGTGGACACTTCTGGAAATGTAGCTTCAGAAAATATACTAGTCTAGCCGATCTATCTTCAAACTTTAATCAAATTGCCTCTTGATATCCGAAAACAACAACAACAACAACAATAACAATGCATTTTGTATTTTTGAGCGCGCACACACATACATACACATGAAGAAATATAGAGAAAGAGATTGAATATGTACATTATTATAATCTAGCCGATCTAGCTTCAAACTTTAGTCAAATTTCTTCTTAATATCCGAAATAACAACTTTTTTTTTTGCACACACACACACACATACACACACACACACACACACACACACACACACACACACATATATATATATATATATATGAAGAAAAAATGAGAAATAGAGAGCGAAAAATGGGGAACCTTTAAGAAATCTTCAGGAGCGACACCGGGGAGGTAGAAAGAGAAGGCATTGTGGAAGATAAGAAGAAGAGAAATGGCGCAAATCAGAAGAGATCTACGAGCTGCTCTTCCCATGGTGATGAAAATGGGAGGGAGAAGAGAAGAGAAGAGAAGACGAATGCGTTTAGATTTGGGAATTGGTTTCAGATCCAAAAATATGCACCGAGAGACGAGCGTTTTTATAATATTGCGTCTTTTTTCGTGAGAGATTTCATATAAATAAATATAAAGTTTAATTTGTGAAGCTGTTGCGTGTCGGTTGCTGGGTTGCATTCCTCGGTCCCACCTTATAGAAATTTTGTCTGTTTAATTTTTTTGGTTTTTGTTATAAAATAATAAAAGAATAAGAACAATATTTAGGGAGAGAGAATTTTTATTGATTTGGGATGAATTACAATGGAATAGAACCCTCTATTTATAGGGAGAGGTTGACTTAGCCACCAAGTAATAAACCCTAGAATCTCTCTAAATATGGACATTCACCATAAATAGAATTCTATTTATAACACTCCCCCTGAATGTCTATTCAACAGATAATGTGCCTCGTTAAAACCTTAACTAAAAGAAAACTCAATGGGAAAAAATTCTAGAAAAAGAAAAAGAGTACACATGTTTAGAAATGCGCCTATTGGTTGCCTCGTTAAAAACCTTGCAAGGAAAACTCAGTGGGACAAAACCTTGTAAGGGAAAAGAGTGCAACGCGCATTAACTCCCCCTGATGAGAGCGTCAATTCACATCCTTGAGCCTTCGCATCCCGATCTTGTAAACTAGCTTCTTGAAGGTTGACGTTGGTAGAGATTTTGTGAACAAATCAGCCATATTATCACTTGAACGAATCTGTTGCACATTAATATCACCATTCTTTTGAAGATCATGTGTGAAAAATAACTTTGGTGAAATATGCTTTGTCTTGTCTCCTTTTATGAATCCTCCCTTCAATTGAGCTATGCATGCTGCATTATCTTCATACAAAATTGTGGGTAACTTGTCACATTTCACACCACATTTGTCTCGAATAAGATGTATTATAGACCTCAACCACACACATTCTCGACTTGCTTCATGAATAGCAATTATCTCAGCATGATTAGATGAAGTAGCCACAATTGATTGCTTAGTCGATCGCCAAGATATGGCAGTGCCTCCATAGGTAAATACATAACCTGTTTGAGATCGAGCCTTGTGTGGGTCAGATAAATACCCAGCATCAGCATAACCAACAAGATCGGGACTGCAATTGTTGCCATAAAATAAGCCCATATCGGTAGTCCCTTTTAGATACCGCAATATGTGTTTGATTCCATTCCAATGTCTCCTTGTGGGAGCAGAGCTATATCTTGCTAAGACATTAACTGAAAAAGTTATGTCAGGCCTTGTAGTATTGGCAAGATACATTAGTGCACCAATTGCACTAAGATATGGTACTTCAGGACCAAGTAGCTCTTCAATCTCTTTTTGAGGTCGGAATGGATCCTTATTCACATCAAGTGATCGAACAACCATCGGATACTTAATGGATGTGCTCCATCCATGTAAAACCATTTCAATACCTTTTACTATGTAGGC